TAGGGCCAGTCAAAAAAGTTCGATCTTTTAAAAAAGAAAGAACAGTGTTGCGGAACGTTATTTTAAAGGGATAGTTCACTTTGAAATTAATTTATGATATGTTTTATCTTACCTCAAGGGCATCCAAGATGTAGCCGTCTTTGTTTCCACAGTATTTTCAATTTTGATATTAAAATATCCCAAAATCACAAGGCCAGTGTTATACATTTAGTTAAGATGATAACTTACAATATTCCAAATGTTTTAAACAATGTTTAAATCGTGTGAAAATTGAGATTTTAACCAAGGAAACGGGACGTGTGAGCAGGGGTGAGCTGGGAGTCGTCAGTAAATCGCGTCATATCCGCGTTACCTCGGTTTCCGCTCGCACTGCGTGTAGTCCTGAACAAATGCGGAAGTTGTAGTTGTGCGTTAGCGTCTATAAAGCTACAAACGTCAGCTTGTTTTGCGCATTTGTTATGGAATGGAGCACAATTATTCTTTAGCGATTGCACCTGGTTCTGACGACAAAGACAAGTCTCTTAAACGCAAACGTCAACGAACGGGTCAACCAAACGACCCAAGAAGAATTTGGGACAAGAGAAATAAAACCAGCTCAACATCGATGTGGCATTTCCTAAATGGAGAGAACTTCATGAAAAACTCGAACTAGAAAGAGACGCCGATCTAGAAAGTGACACCGTGTTCTGTATTCAAATTTCATGTCAGTAAACCATGCAAAACAATTAGTATTATTATTAGAATGTCTTGTTGTCTATGCATATGATGTGAAAAATGGTAAGGTCATATTCACCGCGAATACTTCGGAATGTGAACTGTTGGCTGTATCTTAGAAAACTACGTTAATCTGAAAAGTGCCAGCTCTCACTTAACATCTGTGATAACTAATTTACTTTTAAACCTTACTTTTCTTGTGGTTATTTCAGTTTAATGAAAAACAAGCATGTCATTAAACGCAACAGTTATAGAAATCGAACTTTACCTCATCCATGACAACTAATTTTCGATTCCCGTCTGACTGATTTATCCATGGTGGAGTTGAAAACAACGGCTCCCATCATTCCGCGTTTCTCCACATTGTCATCAAGCAAAGCCGTTGTTGTTGTTTTGAATGTAGCGCCCTCTAGCGGCATAAAATCTTAGGTATTGTAGCTTTAAGTAATGTGCTACAACACTGCGTTACTCCCTAAAAAAATAACTAATTGCCTTACTTAGTTACTTTTTATAGATAGTAACGTGTTAATTTATTTTTGTGTATTTTTTTCTGCTTGTTTTTTTATAAGAAAAATGTAAACCAGATAAAGGACACGGAAAAAGAAATCACACTTACCACAGAAATAAAAAATAAAAATACGGCAACGACGACGATATACTAAAATCTGAAACCTTTTTTGTGTGCTTTTTGCGTACAGATAACAACAATGTCAAAACTATCCCGTTTACAAGGATTTGCGCAAACGATTAAAAACATATTTAAATGCATATGTTTTTAATCATGCACATATACAGTGCACATATACAGTGTATTATACACTGATGTCATTTTGTAAAGAAAAAAATGCTCACAAGTTCACATTTTTGTAGTTTACGGTATAATTTTCTAACACAGTCTCATCCCAAGAAATCATATAACTGACGTCTTGGGACGTCTTTTGACCATACGTCAATATCCGCCTTTTTAGGGCCCCCTTAAACGTCGATAGATGACGATCCCGGGCCGTCATACAACTGACACTTTACCTTTACCGTCAGTTAGGTGACAGGGTAGGTTTAGGTCTGGGGTAGGGTTAGGATCCGATAACGTCATCTACCGACGTTTAAGGGGGCCCTAAAAAGGCAGATATTGACGTATGGTCAAAAAACGTCCCAAGACGTCAGTTATATGACATCTTGGGATGAGACTGCGCTGAATTTTCAAAAACTTGCAAATTTAGTGTTAGTGTTTTCAAGGTCAGATTTTACCAGTTTATTTGAATTGATTCAGGAAAATGTAAAACTGTTACAACTGGGCTTTCAGTTTCAACAACAAAGAAATGAGCAGAAACAATGAGTTTGACTACAACCATAAGGGAAACAAGGGTGTGTATGAATCTTGTTTGAAGCTATCTTTTATTGTTTGTAACTTTAATAGTGCAGAAATGTTTAAAACCTGCAATTAACTCGGCAACAGTTGACTTTGTATCTCGCTTGCTCGCTCGCTTGTATTTAAGGTGTGGTACTATAAATCATTCAGCATATAGTGACAGGCAGCTGCTTTTGTCATAAACACTCAACATATTGTGTTGAAGAGAAACTTCTTTTATGTTAGTTAGTTATTTGCAGTATATTGTACAGTTTTGTTTCTGCTTGCCAAGTAAAAGGCATAGAAGTAAGAAAAACAAATACTACAGTCTCAGAAGTCTTAACACAAAGGCATACTGACATGTGAAGAACCAGAAAATTCTCTTTCCCTTTTTCTCTCTCGTATTCACAGTTACTTAAATCTCTCAAAAAATGTACACACTTTGGAGACTTCTTGTGTGAATCCCCAGCCTACCCAGAATGCTCTAGCAGAACAGAGGTGTCAGCAGTTCCACAGAGGTTCTGGTTTTTGAGTTCTTCTTTCTAAGCTGGCAACCTTTAACATAATAGTACTGTCCAGCTCTTAATGTGATGCTACTGAAGCAATTATTGGATGGGCATGGTGGCTCACTTTCATTTCAAAGATGCCAAGCAATTAATTCGAGACTTGATCCATTTGTTTGCTCTGCAGCTCATTTACAGGGCTGTAAGTGAGATGCAAATAAACACACAACTAAGAGGTGGTGCTCTGATGATAACAATAATGATGGTGCGCAAGGCAAACACATACTCAATTAAACCCTTTCAAATCTACATTTATACAAAATTGATATGCTTCAATGTAAGCTACCAAAGAGATTAAATTGTTCAATTTGAGGGCATATCTCTACTCTCAACAAAGCACATATTAAATAGATTTTAATATGTTTGCTTGTGCAAAAACCATGGGGTTACTAAGGGTTTAGGCTGTGGTTGCCATACAGTATGTGATTGTTAGGTTGTTGTAGATGGTTGCTGGGGTATTTGTATGTAGTTTTGAGGGTTTGTGATTTTTAGGGTGTATTTGGGGTTGTTGTCAGGGTATTACTACACAGTTGTTAGGGTATTACGGGTGTTTGCCAGGATGTTGCAATATGGTTGCTGTAAGATGTAGTGGGTGGTTGTTGGGTGATTATGATGCAGTTGCTACAGTTTTCCAGGTGAACAAGGGTAATTATATGTGGTTGCTTAGGTGTAGCTGGTGGTAGGCAGGATGTTTCTACAGTATGTGATTGCTAGGATGGTTGCTGGGGCATTTATATGCAGTGTTATGGGCGGTTGCCAGGGCATTGTCACGCATTTGTTAGTTAGGGTATTGCGGGTGGTTTACAAGATGTTGCAATGTGGTTGCTATAGGATGTAGCAGGTGGTTGCTGGGTCATTGTGATGCTGTTGCTACAGTTTTCCAGGTGAATGAAAGGGTAATTATATGTAGTCGCTAGGGTGTTGTAGATGGTTGCTTGGACATTTAAATGCAGTTTTAGGGTATAGTGGGTGGTTGCTAGGGTATTGCTATGGAGTTCATATGGTGTTGCAGGTGGTTGGCATGGTATTGATATGCAGTTGCTAGGGTGTGGTGGGTTGCCAGAGCATTGTGATGCAATTTCCAGCTAAATGCTATGCGATTGAAGATGAGTAGTTGGTTGGTGCCAGAATGTTGCTATGTGGTTGCAAGGGTGTTGCCAGAGCGTTGCAATGTAGTGTACAGCATGATGCTATACAATGGCTAGAGAGTAGTGGGTGTTTGCCAGGATATTGCTATGTGGTTGCTAGGGTGTTGTAGGTAGGTGTCATGGTATTGCAATGTAGTTTCTAGAGTTTTGTTATGTGATTGATAGGTTGTAGTGGGTGGTTGTCAAGGTGTTGCTATACAGCTGTTAGGGCATTCCAGGTGGTTGTCAGGCTATTGGTATATGTTTCACATTTATGTTACCACATTCACATTATATTTCACATTTAAATCCTCTAGTTGCAAGAAAAAAAATCAGCTTGCAATTTAAAATACGTATGATCACATACTAAATATGCGTCCACAAGACTTTTGACTAATGGATGTTGATGCCTAGGGTTTTTTCTTCACAATGATCTGAAAATCATCCTCCTAATCGTTTACATAAAACTGTGAATTATTATATAATATGAATAAAACTGTGAATTATTATAATATAACTGTGGGTTATATTGTGAAAAACATTTTTTTTTTTTGTTTGCCAAGGCAATATGCGAATGGGAGTGAACAGGCCAGCCTCATCATGAATAATTAGGTGATTCTCACCTGAGAGACAAAGACACACATAATAATGAGCCTTTCATTTAGATGAGTCAAACAAGAAAAAATTGAAAGGACAACACAGACACACACACACACACACACACACACACACACACACACACACACATATTTAAAATTCTTCTAGAATGATCATTTTTATCAAGCTTGTTTATTTAAGTTCAGTAATTTCACTTAAATGACAATTAATAGGTAGTCTTCAATGCAATTTAAGTGAAATTACTGAACTTAAATACTGTACAAGCTTGATAAAAATGATCCTTCTAAAAATGATCATTCTAGAAGAAAATTTCAAATGGCATTTTGGCTTTTGCATCTGAACTAAATATACTATATATATATATATATGTATAAAATCAAAGTATAAATGAAAGTCATATCATATTTAAACACTCTTTTGATAACTAATGTTATCTTACTATAAAAGGACGTCACATTAAATTCTTGTTCCAATGTAAGCTAAAGTGAATTAACGCACAGCGCGCGCGTCTGTTAATTCACCTATTGCTTCCTATCAGACACTCATTTGATATTTAAACAGTCTTAGTTCAGTTTCCAGACACTATTCAATGACGCGATTAGAACAAAGCACTTATAATAAATGACTTACTGCATCAGCTGAATCCGTGCTCCTCAAAATGAAACTGTAACTGAGGTAACTTTTTTTCCCCAGGATCTCCTCACTGCGCAGCAATACGAAAGGCTAGGACGTGGTTAGATCCGTAATAAACTGTATGTTTTTATCGATGTGGGTCGTTGGTGGCTTGCTTCAACATTAGTGTTTGAATAGCACGCGCTCTCAGTGGGCGGGGTCACATTAGCCCGTCATTCACTGTAATGAGGTGAAAGGGAAAAGACTGACATCTCTCTCTTTTCATACCAAGACGAAAGGCTAGGACGTGGTTAGATCCGTAATAAACTGTATGTTTTTATCGATGTGGGTCGTTGGTGGCTTGCTTCAACATTAGTGTTTGAATAGCACGCGCTCTCAGTGGGCGGGGTCACATTAGCCCGTCATTCACTGTAATGAGGTGAAAGGAAAAAAAAGACTGACATCTCTCTCTTTTCATACAGATTACATCAACTGAGAATAGTTGCTTTTTTATAAAAATGACTTCATTTAAAAGAAGAGAATTTCAGCTTCATAAAAAGAGATCTTTCGTGTCTCTGTGAAAAGTATAATGAACTGCAGCTCTTTTTTCGGACGCGTTTCAGAAAGATTTTTGCGGAGACAGAGTGAGCTGAAGCGCACCTCGTTTAATTTATTTATTTTACAAAAACACAAGGTTTTGATATTAATAAGAGTGTACACACAAAAAAGAACACCCTGTATAGTTTATAATCATGTATTGATATTATTTATATGACCATTATGACGAAGTATTTTAAGTCTAGGTTGCAGCTATGTGGGAAAAAAAACAGAGAGTTGGTCCCTCCCCTGATCATAAATTAGGCTACACTTTTAAAGTTACAATCGCCACGATAGAACTCTTGAAATGATTTCCTTAGATTCTACACTGTACATCTTTTACAATACAAAGTACAGCATGTGCTTTTCTGATTGACATTTAAATGGAAAATTCTCGTTTTATTTAGAATGTCCTGGTTTTGCACGCTGGCTCGCTTTCAGCTCTATTATCTTTCTCAGTTCATGAAGGATTAAACACATTTTTCCTTATAGATATATTTTTAAATCTCAGAGAGTAATAAAACGTGCTACAGCTGTACAGAATATATAAGGGGAAAAAAGACTTTTGTTGGAATATTTTGTAGACAGTGGTGCTACAAAGAAACCTTTCATGTTTTTGAGACTGTGAAGATTGTGTTTGACATTAACTTGTATGAAGACAAAGGAATGCCTTTTCTCTTATGGTTGGAGAACAGAGTCTTCATTGTAAATAATTGTGTTATTTTTTTATTTTTTTGTACTGAAACATTTAATTTTCATCAATCAAAAGCATTACAACAAATAAAATAATCTTTTGCACACTTTAATTGTTCTTCAGATTTTATGATTATATTCTATTTATCTGTTTACTTGTTTGCATTACAGTAATGATTTGGCAAAATTAAGTAGCACAATACAAATGTTTAGGCTGAATATTGTTTCTTATTTTTTCCTCCTGACTTTGCAGAGAAATAGTGTCCTTGGCAGGTTTCATGAGATTCATCCATTTCTATGTATTAAGGTAATAGGAATTATCAATTGCATACCTTTATAACGTATGCTGCCTTTCTGGTTTCATTTATCTGTTTTAGGATAAAGTTATATTTGTTTAGAAACGAACTAAATACTGATAGTGGAGTTTTGTTTAGGGTGTTGCCTCAGCATTGGCATTGTGGTTTTTAGATATATGAAACTACATGCCCGAGTAATAAGTATAAGTTACATAACAATTTTTTTTTTTTCCTATCTGGTACAGTGTGGAAATATCTCAATTTGTCTCTACATGAAGAAACACTGCATTCAGGGAATTAATATTTCTGCATGGAGGCTGGAGTGGACTGCATGTGGATCAAATATGATTCTCTTTATAGCTGCATGTTTATAATGTAAAAGTTAGGTATAACAGCATGTACATGGGAAGCTGACTATACATTCGCTTCACAGGAAGAAGAAAATCACGCAGAAAGCTATCAGACATTTACAGCTTTACAACGCCATTTGACTTTTTTTGTAATGAAACACTTCTTGGTTTTGCTGCAAAAAAAAAAAAAAAAAAAGAAAAAGAAAAAAAGAAAAGAAAAGTGTGTAAGTGCAAACCTCTAAGAAGAAGGCAGATTAATGAGACTCTTCTTGTCTTCAAGTTGATGATAGTCTGACACAATGATTACAAATTACAAATTTGTGTGATATTTCATAATTAGGTATTTTTTCTTTCCCTTTACTTTTTCAACAAATGTTCTGTGATGCGTCAACCTCAATGCCGGAAATATTAAATGAACTGTTTTAGATTTTGCTGTTTTCATTTTATTTGCAACTCTTATTTATCTGTTATTTATTTTTACAACTGCATATTTTTAAACATATCTACATATCTACGTATTTGCATGTGTGGTTCAGGTATACTATACGTTATGGCAACAAAATGTCCCCAAAAAGATGGCAATATCCGATATCCTTGTCCTTGTTGGGACAATTTTTTGGTCCCTTTATGCGTAAAACAGTTTATAAATCATACTAAGATTGTTTTTTTTTTTAATGTAAATAATGCTGCATGTTTTCTGTGATGGGTAGATTTAGGGTTAGGGGATAGAATATACACTCTAAAAAATGCTGGGTTGTTTTAACCCAACTTTGGGTCAAATATGGACTAACCCAGCCGTTGGGTTAAATTTTTACATTACATTTTTAACCCAACTTGTCCATATTTGACCCAAAATTGGGTTAAAACAACCCAGCATTTTTTAGAGTGTACAATTTGTACAGTATAATAATTATTATCTCTATGGAAATTCCCCATAAAACATAAAAATCCAACACGGAAACCTGAACAGCCAATCACATGCCTTGAAACATAGAGAAACTGTGATTCACCTCTAACGAGAATCAGCAAGATTATTTATTTTTTCTAGTATTTTGTTTTTATTATAATGTTTGATCATTTTGTCTTACAGCAACTTTGTCTGATTATTAGATCGTTTATTGTTCTTTTCCTGGCAATAACTAGTCATTTTATCTGATCGTTTGATAATTTTGACTTAAAATAAGTTTGTTTCATCATTTTGTTCAATAATTTTTTGTCCTAAAATAACTTTGATTATTTGTTTTGAACATTTGCCTGATAATTTGTTAGATTATTTTTACAATAACTTTTTCTTACAATATCTTTTTAGTTGATGATTTGTTTGATAACTTACATTTACATTTATTCATTTGGCTGACGCTTTTATCCAAAGCGACTTACAATTGCTATATATGTAAGAGGTCGCACACCTCTGGAGCAACTAGGGGTTATAAGGTTGTCTTGCTCAGGGACACATTGGTGTCTCACAGTGGATTCGAAAAAATAAAAAATTGAAAAATTGTTCTAAAAATAACTGTGTATGATCCTTAACTTTGTATGAATACAGTGAGGTGGATATGTTTGTACATAAACAAATAAAAAGCTTTACAAATTTCATGGATCTCCAAAGTGGCATTGGAATCAAGTGACTCCGAATACATAAATAAATTATTGTATTACTATATTGACTAAATTATAACTTTTATAAACGTATAACTTTATTGTTTGCTCTGTTGTATTCGTTTATCATTAATACATACAGTACGCACCTGAAAACGGTTTTATCATAAACTGTCAGCTAAACAAACAGTAGAGAGCACAGAGTACAGTATGTGTTCACTGTGTACATATTGTAAACCCGGTTAAACTGAAATCATAAAAGTAAAACACATGCATGCTATTTGGATAATCATGAAAATTCAAGCTCTAATTTACACTGCAAAAAATAATCCAGTAAAAAAAAAAATGGTAAACTACTGGCAGCTGTGGTTGCCAGCATCATACCGTAAAAATACGGTGTGTTACTGTTTTTAAAATTAACAGCTAAAAACCGTATTGTCAGCTACAGTATAAAACTTTAATTTAACAGCTATATGCTCTAACACAAAACAGTAACACACCGTCCACTGTAAAAAATAACCGTGATTTTAACGGTAAAATACTGTAAAAATGCTACAGTGCAAAACTGTTAATTGGTAAACAGAAAGTTTCCGTACTATACACGGTAAATAACTGTGATATAATTTTACAGTAAAATACCGTTAAATTTACAGTTTTTGAAAGTGAAAAAGAACAAATCATTGTATAATTTACAGTGAAAAAACGTAAATTGACATGCCCACAATTCCCTGTGTGACACTTCACATTTTATGTATTTTTGTTGAAATAACTATGGTTCCTCATAGTTTTATTGTTTTTTTTTCTAATCAGTTATGTACATTAGGGTTATATGTTACATTTAATGTTGTTAAATTAATGTTCATTGCATTTTTTTTATTTTCATGTGTGTTAGATGGTGCTTAATGTTTGTGTGAATGACATTGTGCAGCTTCTTTACTTAACTGTCACCGTCCCACAGGTGGGACGTTTGCCACTATATTTTTAAAACAATAATATCTTAGTAAATACCTTAAATAATATTGACAAACTATATATCATTTGAAAGCTTACAATCTCTAGTTTCCATATTTGGTGACTGATTTTCAAAATATATTACAGAGGAGCCATAATTTATCAATATAAAACAAGAATATTTTCATACTCATAAGGCGTGTCCAGACCTTTATTTTAAAATAGCAGTAAACATGAAAAATCATGAAAAAATGGTAGATACCTCAGTTTGTTTTCATGCCAAAAGTAAAAAAAAAAAAAAGAATCCATTCAATGATTTTGGAAAAAAAAGGTCTGAAAAGTTTGAAATATCAAGAAAAAAATAATAAATTCACCGTTTGTGACGTGGCAGCTAGCTATGACTTGCATGCGTGTTCTTTGTATGTGTTTCTTAGAGGTTCAATTCATTTCAAAATCTGCCAAACTTCCCATACTACATACATACATACATCTTCTTCCGCTCATCCGGGGCCGGGTCGCGGGGGCAGCAGTCTAAGCAGAGATGCCCAGAC